CATGCATACATGCACACGTACATACATACGTACTTGCATACATACATAGAGAGATAGATACATAGATACATAGATACATAGATACATGCATACACAACAACCCCGACTGCCAGTCTGGCAGAGTACTCGGAAACATGAGTATGTCGAGTAGAAGCCACGTGCACTTATCCGACGTAGTTGGTTACCACAACCCACTTGGGATCCGGGCCAGTAGAGACAGACAGGATGCACCAAGCGAACAGAGCTAGGATGAATGAGGCGGATACTAGCGCTTGGATGATAAATGGGACTATTTAAGACAAGTCGGACCAGGGAGCCTTCTTGGGCTTCTGGCGGGATATTTGGCGTATCTGGGTAGGATATAACCCTAGTATTGCACGGAAAAGTCCGGCATGTTTACAAGAGTCATGCCAGTGTCGACGAGAATTGATGTGATTGGTGCTGACAATGTGAAGGCAGATGGCACAAGCCTGATATACATTGATCGTCACCTTGTCCACGAGGCACCGGCTTGCCCCAGCTCCGCTAGGATTGTGTGTGGCAGCAGTGTGGCTCGAGGTGACAAGCCCTCAGGCATTCGAGGGTCTCAGGCTCAGCAGCAGAGAGGCCACCCTTCGTGCCTGCTTTCATTCGTGCTCGGATGGGCTGCAACCACGAACCCCCGAGCAGGTGCGCCGAACAGATTGCACTCTGGCCACAGTGGACCACAACATCCCAACTTCATCGCGGAAGAGTTTTAAGGATCTGTCGTCATCACACAAGCCTGCACTGCGGCCCACATGCACTTGTGCTCAGGACACCAAAAGCTTTATAGAAGAAGCAGATTCGCGGCAGCAGGCCACCATGCGGTTCTCGTAGAGAGAAGGTCCGACGGATTTCACGAATCGAGGTTGTAACACTGGAGGACAATGTGCAAGCGTTCGGCCGCGACCGCAGCTTCCACTTGGTGCACACAATGATTTTGCTATCACATGTGCCGAAATATGCATAGACCATGCCAGGTTGTCAATCGCTTCAGCCCAGCTGCATTGCCATGCAATGACCTTCGACAGGCCTCACGTACTTCGGAATGGAGGACAAACGACAAGGCATCGTGCATGTCATCGGTCCGGAGCAGGCTGGCATGCATCATGACTGCTTTTGTCATTGCTGCGGTGCTGACATTAGTGCCGCTGTTAATGCTGTTGCTGCATTTGATTTTAGCACTCGTGGTTCTTCTCTTGCTGTACGGTTCTTTGTTTTGCTTTTGGACCAGTTGTGTTTCGCTGGTTGAGATTGCAGGTGCCGCTCCGAAGTCTTGTGTCGATATCGTTATGCAACAGTGATACTCAGTTGTTTGCGCTGCAAGGGCTGGAGTTTGTTGAGTCGAATGTGGGTTTGTTCCGCTAGCCGTCCAGAACGCAGGGGTTCACCCTCCCTGGAACTACGGTGGTTTGCCGCGGCCTTGGCATGGCCGCACACTGTCGGGCTGTGAATTATCCCGAGTTCCCACAGCGGTTTTGGATTATGGACGCTTGTCTGAGATCTTGCAGACGTCCACCGTAAGAGCCCGACAAACCCCCTACAGCTAGATCCCCAAGGTAGACCCCAGTGTTGTGGACAACCGGATGGCGGATAGCTAATAGCCCCTGTCCGTACTGCATGATGGTCTATGCGCGAATGTGCGATCTTCATGCCGTGTGGGAGAGGAATGGCCATGTTTGCACAGAGGCTTGGGATGCATTGGAAGAACCAGCTGTTGTGTTTCTGACGGTGTCTCGACCACAAGACTGCGCGAGAGCAGCGATGGTTTTAGATGGCTATCTTTCTGGAAACAGTGTTCAAGGAGATCACAAGCACTGCTGTTGTGCTGCACTTACGCACTCGTTTTCTGCTCCAGTATAGTAGTGCAAAGTCAAGCATTGCAAAATTGTGTAGTCTTTTCATCGGAGTAGGGCGTTGTTAGCTTTCAAGGCAGTATCCCTTGCATCAACATCCGGGTAGCACCCGCATCTATGCACGACAGACGCTGTGGTCATTTTTCATGAACCTGCTAAGGCAGTATCCCTTGAATCAACACGCATGTAACATCATCTGTGCACACTAGACTCCATAGACATTGTTTCACAACAAGCCCGTGAAACATCCTGCGGAATTCTCGCACAGATGCCGCCATTCAATGATCACTGTTTCACCACAGAGGCGCTGAGAATCATATTCACCCGGCATTGGGGTTCTGAGTCAATCCAACTAATATGATGCTGCCCATTCAACTCACTGAATTATGTGCTGCACCTGCAATGATCGCACGCATACTTGGCAGTCCATTTTGCAGGCTTGTGTACTTCCGAAACCTCCTATTGCAACATCCCAATTCCTGAAAGAATGCGAGACGGTAAACCCGAAGCCCTAAAAGCGGTGGTTTTTCAAATCCCAGCAAAGAGAATTCGCGAAACCCAGACCCGAAGAGGCTGGAATGGGCAACCCCCAACCACCAAAGGCATGAGTTTTGGCAGAGCCTGCGTTTTGGAAACCCTGATCCCGAAATTCGGGCGAGAGCGGAAACCTTAAGCCCACAGAGGTGTCCTGCTGGTGGTGGATCACCTTCCCACCCTGTCTCGTGGATGGCGGGTGTTGCAGTAGATGCGCAGACACACAGATGTATATGTGGAGGGAGACGTTGCCGGGGTACCTGCGAACCGGGAAGCGGATCAGCCAACCCGGCTGCTCGGAAGTGCTTTGGACCATGTATGCCCAGATGCAGAGTGGGCTTGTTCAAGTTCCGGGAAGCCTGTTTGACCCGCATCACGGACACAAACAGCGTCAACCTGCGCCACCAGCGTGATAAGAATAACGGTAAACAAAAATCATCATCTCCATCACCGTCATCACCGTCATCATCTTCATCACCGCCATCTTCAATATCATCGACACTACTCTCATCATCGTCGTCGTCATCATCATCATCACCACCACCATCAACATCATCACCACAATCATCATCTTCTTCTTCACCATCAGCATGACCGTCATCTTCAACATCATCGACACCACTCTCATCATCATTGTCGTCATCGTCATCATCATCGCCATCTGCATCACCACTCTCATCACCATCATCGTCGTCATCATAGTCACCATCGTTATGATGATCATCATCACCCTCAACATCACGGCCTTCATCACCATCACCATCATCATCATCGTCATCATCATCATCACCACTATCACCATCATCATCACCACCACCATCAGCTTCATCACCATAATCATCATCTTCATCTTCACCATCAGCATCACCGTCGTCATCATGATCATCATCATCATCATCATCACCATCACCATCATCATCACCATCATCATCATCATCACCATGACCATGGCCATGACCGTACCAGCACCACATCATTTTTTTTTACTATCGCGGCTATGATTAAGACTATGATGACTATCCCTATCAGTATGATTATTACTGTTGTTGTTGGCTTATCGGAAAGAGCCGGCATCCCGGTACTGGGGGCAAATTCCTTCACGCAGCATAAGGTGGCGACAGCCACACCTCAACGCACGGAGCATTCGGAGCTCTGGCTTTTGGTGCGGATCCCTGCTACCTTGAAACTGGAGTTTCGGGAGCCATGGTGCAGCCCAGCTCAGTTCGGAAGGTATCGGGACATCTGAAGTCGAACATGTTTTGGCAACGCAGACGCTGTGCCGAGCCCGGAACACCGCAGATCATTGCAGCGAGGATATCCATGGCAGAGTGCTGGAGAGAGGTTGCACGGTTGACAGAACCCAGGCTCATGAACAAGGCAAAGAACATGTTGGGGACCCAGCAAGTTCTTTGGCGGTGAGAAAAGGAAGGGTATGTACTCCCATGCCTCCTGAGAGAAGCTTCTCATGTCGTTGCCGAGTAGGTTGAAAGTTTTAGTCCTTGCATAACAGCAGGGCCTCTGATTCGTTTTTCCGAGTAGAGCTCCGGCGATGGAAGACTTTGAAGCGGCAGTCTTGCACAGTTCGCTTCTGTGCTTATGGGTTCACCTATTGCCAAGTTGGAGCCTCAGCTCCACTCCACAAAGCTTGACATCTACCATGCATGGTTTAGCTCGTGGTTCTCTTCGACTGTAGTCTTCCTTGTCGTTGTCGTCGCCGCGTCGAAGTCGCCAAGGTGATCAATGTCGTGATTGTAGGCTTCGTCGTCACGTGGTGTCGGTGGTTGTGATTGTCGGTGGTGCTGGTGGATGTCTGTTTTGTTCCATCTCCTTTCTCGCATGGTCAGTGATCTGACCGGATGCGGCCTAGGCGAGTCAAAGTTTCTGGCAAATTGGCTGAAGGCGTGACTTCCAAGGACCTTTGCCGCGTAAGATGTCAGACTGCATCTGGAACACTTGGGTTGCAATCTCTCAGTGGCTTAAAGGTGTGGCCGATACACAAGAAGCGACATTCCCATCACTCCGCCTGCCCGTGCATCCACGCGCTGTACATCACAATCTGCAAACCGTTGATCCTCATCACTTTCGGTCCACATCACTGCCTCGTGTTTATGGTACTTTCCTTTCTGTAACATTCAGCATTCACCGCAAGATAGCCCACGGCTGGCTTCAAGGCTGCCGTCAAACCTCCCAAGAAGTGGTCGGAGTTGTGCCAAGATGCCTTGCACTCTTGAAGTCCGCATGCAAGCATACAGACAGAAAGAACATCGGCATGGATCCGGAAGGGACAGTCCCTTTTGGGTTGAGGACCTCAAGAATAGGGCGAACATGAACAACGTGAAATATTTCTTTTTCGCCCTGCCTGGCTTGGTCGAAGTCCGGTCGGCATTTTCATATACAACAGTTGAGGCTCTGGAGCCTTTCGGTTCGGCCATTCGAGAAGACGAAGGGTCTCTCGTCAATGCAGTACAAGCGGAACACTAAGTTTGGGATGAGCAAAGCCTGAAAAGACTGAAGTTTCACGGGCATCCTGCAGACTTGCAGCGCGTACTTCTCGCGGATTGGAAGGCAATGCCGCCGACAGGCCGCACAGACGGGATCCGGAAACACCCAAAACAGAGGATAACCACTACAGCTTGTGGTGACGCTCGTTGCCGTTTGGAATCCACAGCTTAGGCATAATCGCGTCCTCGTTTGCAGATGTAGGATGTCATCTTGCACATCATTGGCGTGATCGGCACTGCTGGTGGCACTGGCAGCGTCATCGAATTCTGCATCTTGTCATCAATGTCCCACACCTTCTTCAAGTGGCTAAGTAAGTGCTGAACTGGCTGTCGTCTGAGGTGGAGATGTCTTCGAGAACATGTCCATGGAGGCGCTATGCCAGTACTTGATCGTGAGACGATGCGAGCTGACAGAGAGCAAGAGATGCAAAGCCTGGAGAATTCGGAGTGAAAGAACGTGAGAATAGAGAGAGTGGGAGAGACGGCGGGGGCAGAAGATCCTCACATGGCGGGGGACGATGCACCTGCCGATGAAGACGACCTGAGCCCTCGGAGCCACTGCAGGCGTAGGATGCACACGGCAGTGTTTGATCGGCATGGTGTGGGTTCCATCCTCGTGGAACCTACCACAGCTCACACAAACCGGTTGTCATAGTAGTAAGCCGTAGAAGGAACCCTCACCCGTCGGAGCGGGTAGCCGGGACCAACCATGTCATGCATGAGTTACTTGTTGTGTAGGCGTAGTTTGGGCCTGCCAGTGGGTCACCCGGAGTATCCCTGAGTACTGAAGGCTGAGCTTAAGCCTAAGCAGCGCTGCGAGCTCGGGCCCAGACCATGCATCGGCCTGGGGATGCCTGGGGCATGGGTCAGTTAGAGTTCGTTCAGGGCGGTTCCCACGGTTGTCAGAACGCAGACCTTATCGAGCTTTTCACTCGTACAGACTTGGGAGAGCAGGGCGCTCGCGCGCGAAGGGGGCAGGACCTGCCCCTCTTTGGCTGTGTGGCAGAAGAGAGAGACAGCTGTTCGGGTTGTCGGCCGTAGAGCCGGTCAGGGTTCATTTCGATTGGAAAAGTCTCTTTCCCTGTTTTCTTGGTTCTGCCTTCCGGGAGTGCTGTCCGGGCTCGGGTGGCGCAGTGTTCGGATTCAGTTGATGCCGCGGCGGTAGCGACGCCAATGGAAGGGCTGAGACTCAGAAACCGTCGAAGCAAGCGTCGAACAACAAATGATTTTCCGTATCAGATGTGAAAGATCTTCAGATCGCAGGCAATACTGAGCCTTGCAAATCAGAGCGCCGACATACTGGTTGAGGAAGCTCCGAATCAATTTGCGAAGGCTTTACATCCGCAAGAGATGCTCAGAGAAGCCGTGCTATTCGTACCGGCAAAGAAGGAAACTGCGAAGCCAGCCGAAGGGCTGACCGGCAGGCGAGGATGTCAGTGTGCAATATGACCATTGAAGCTGGGGCTCGGCACCAGCCCAAATCTGCTTTGAAGCATCGCACTCGGACCAGTTCAGTGCTGCTCTAAGGGCGGGTATGGTGGCTCCTGATGACATTACTTTCAGCTACCTGAAAGGAAGGTGCGGGCCCGAAAGCTGCCATGCGGTGTAGCGGTTTTCATTCACCTGCCAGGCCCCTGTGCCCCAAGGGGAAAGACTGGGACAAGGCTGGTGGCTGCCAATTGGAGTCATGTCGTGCGCCAACATTCCAGGCAGTTGAGTACTGGAAAAGCCTGCGCACGGACAAGGGGGCGAAGTGCTCCCGATCACATGTGGAACTTCGCAATAGGAAAAGCAAGGTGTGTCCGAGCTCATCAGGTTCGACAAAGAGATCAATATCGATGCAGCTGACATTGCTCCGACAGCTCCTTGAACGCAGCGGGCTTCTGTGGCAGCGATGGAGTCAGAAATCTGTACATCTCAGTGCTTCCGCTTGTGTGCCAAGATCCAAGGTGACGTGGGGCACAAGCCCTGAAGACGTCGTGGCCATCACAGGAACAGTTCCCGATCCCAAGGAGGAGCTTGCGCCGTGCACATACAGTATCTTTTCCCCAAAATCGATGCAACCCAATGTCGAGGCCAAGGATGAGACGAAGAGGAGCTGCCAGCTGTCGGTCGGTCGCGGTGCATTGCTTTCCTGCATTGAGCTTCCTGCTTTATAGCCGTCGCCGAAGCCCAAGCCTGGGAAGCCAAGGTTTGTTTCATGACAGAAGTGCGTGAGTCATCATGCCAACTGTTTTGGCAACAGAGTCTAGAGTCCCAGACGGAGCTGTTAGCTGTCGTCTAGTTTCTTCCTATCGCCACTGCTGCTATGCTCCGGTCCTCCCGACGTATAGAGTTCGCAGGGTCGTTAGACTCCAAATCAATCTGCTCTACAGGTTTTTCTGCTTCCCCCACTCTGCAGTCGGCTTCGAAATGCATAGTTTACACTGTCGCCCCAGACCCGGCTGCTAAGGAAAGACGGACTATCTCCCAAACTGTTTGTCCAAGACTGTGTGATCTTGACACAGCTGCGTGCGATGGTTCTAGCGCTGCAGGTGGCAAATGCATTGCATGTTCAGGACTGGAATGCAGCGCGCCTTGCAGTACATGGGTACGCCACTTAATTAGGAGCCTTGGCAGCAGAGTGTCTAATAAGTACAGTCTCTCCCGAAGTCTGAGGCTTGGAGCCTGGAACCAACATGCAGGACATCTCCATCCAGAAGGTTCCGAATCTTAGGACATGCTCACCTCCGGAAGTTCTGCTGGAACAGGTGTTCATAGGATCCTGCACGAACAGCCGCATAGAAGACATGCGCCAGTTGCTGAGGGAGGGAAGCATGCACTTCGGTAGAGCCATAGGAACCCTGTGTGGTTTGAGGCAGCGTTGCTGCCGTGGTAAAGGGCAGGAAGGCCGGGCTCCAAGTCATTTCGTCTTCACGGTTTGATGCGAAGTCTTGTCTGCTTGCAACACATTTTGCATCCCTTCATGTGGGCTCTGAGAGACACGAGAATGTCGATACCACATGTAACATTTTTCACCGAGTCCATTCCAGCACTCCGTTTAGAGCCATAGCCCTAGCACTTCTTTCCATCGAGAACCGAGACAGGCTGTAGGGTCCTCCAGAGTGTCTGCCTGCACTCCATGCCTTTGCGCACGTGTTCCTAATGGCAACGGCCTTGGGTGATTGGCATACCGGCACAGCATGGACGCGTGTTTGCCCGGAAGCTGCACACGTGCGTAAGTTTATGCCTAAGTCAAGGCTGTGACAACTCTGGACAGCTTTCGCCTAAAGGCTCGCATTGCGCCGGCTTTGGTTGCCTCAGATTCGTGAGTGTTGGGACAATGAAGGACCCACTGGATTGGACGCCATGCGCCTAGACTTCTTGTGGTGAATGGAGTCCGAAAGCCTTTAGCAAGGCCCAGTGAAGTGGCTGAATTCCTGGCATCTATTCTGCCCAGGGCTTGGTAAACGCAAGACTCTGCATGAATCTGCCGCGTTAACATCCACATGGCAACGCCTCTAAGTCCTGGACATCCCTGCCTTGACTGCTTTACCTACACATCTGGCTATGCCTCGGCCTTTGCACTCTGCTCATGGGACGGCGTGTAAGAAGTGAACTGGCCAGGTGTTGTGCTCACTGGAGAAGGACGACTTGCGCAGGCAAGCCAAGAACAACGAGGCTCTGGCCTCACGGAAGATTAGGCATGACTAACAACTGCAGAATCGGCGAGTCGATTTGCCGAGGCGGCCAACGTGATTTGGACGGAGCTCGCAAGCAGGAGAAAGGGAGCCCAGGCGTGATTAGACGATCGAAGAATGTCTCGGGAAACCGCGAATGACATAGAGATGTAGAGTGCAGGCAACTGGCACGAAGGCTGGGACACAGGAATCTGGTGAAGTTGTGCTTGCACTTCTCTGCTGCACATCCATCGCGTGACGCACGGTGACGGTAGACCGCACCACGCCCCCAAGGCAGTTGTGCAGCGTGGCGGTGTCGATCCGCGCCCGAATCCTGGACGCGTGTGACATTCGTGCCGAAGCACGAGCTAAGTTTGGCTTTCTGCTAGGATCTGAACGTCGTGCGTTGCTGGCAGTAGAGGGAAGGAGGTGCGAGGGGTGGCGAGGAGAAGCGAAGAGAAGTGGAAGCCGAGTCATTGAGTCGGATCGTGGAACAAGCATACTACAAACGTCCTCTAGAGCATGTGCAGGGGTTGCACATGCATGATTGAACCCAAGAAGAGCAGCCGAGCACCACGGCCATGTGCTAAGATTGGAACCGCCGTCGAGAAGTCGTCATAGCAGTTTGGGGAAGGGGAGGGCGCCAGGTCTGAGGGGACATCACTTTCAAGCTGAAGAGAGCCGGCGGCAAGCCCTAAAGCTTCCTAAACTGATCAGAAGGGCGGCGGCAGGAAGAGAAACATGTAGCAAGCCCCGAGACGAGGCAAGTGCGACAACACAACCAGACGTTTCTGTGCACCATCTGCATGTGTGGGGTGGGAAGGGGGGTGTCACAGACAGATGCAGGTGACTTGGGAAAAAAAGCTCACAGCGCGATTGATTTAAGAAGACGAAGAAGCAGTGGGCCGAAACCAGATTGAGGAGACAGAGGAGGACCCGTAAAAAGACTTCGGAGACAGAGAGACAAAGAGAGAAAGAGAGAGGCAATGAACCGCGGTTGCGCGCTCGCGCGCGAGGGGAGGGCCTGGACGCTGCCCGACCCTCATGGCCGGTAGAGAGAGAGAGAGAGAGAGAGAGACAGAGAGAGTAGCCATTTTGGCTCAAGTCGACCTGCCGCTTCCCTTGTGGGGGGCGCTTGAGGACGGCCCTCATAGGGTGCTGGTTGTTCCCAGCATCCTCGTTGGGTGGATGCTCCTTCAGGCGGGGGGAGGCTTGAGTCACATTTCCGCGCTCCAGAGGCCCTTGCAGGTTCCTTGACCTTGAGGTGAGCCATAACTAAGAAGGGCACGATCGAACACTACGACCTTGGAGGGGAGTTCTACTCTGCAAGGACCCGCTCCCGGACGTCTTACAGGAGGGGGGAACGCACCTCATCACCAACGACCTTCTCGAGTCCGCCAACACGCCGACCACCACTGCGTAAGTTGTTCACCGTCGGCCCGGAGGCACTCCTCGCTCTGCTTTGGGACCATTGGCAAGCACACCCGAAGAGTGCCTGGCTTTCCCAACTAGAGGGAGACGTGCGGCACGTTGCAGTGTATTGTCCTGCTGTTTTGGACTGCTTGGACAGCCCGCCTACACACCCGCCCTTTAAATTTGGACTCCTTTTCATGCGAACCCCGTTGGTGGCCAACGCAAGTGAAGCTGCCATCCAGCAATTTCAGCTTGACCTGGAACAATGGAAAGAGTCCAAGACTCGCCCCGGACCTTGTCAGCGGTCGGATCCCGCTGAGGCCAAGACCTACGCGTGCTACCTCTGCGATAGCTCCTCCCCTCTCCGTAAACACTTGCATGCGCATTTAGCGAGCGCACACAAGGTGTATGTCTTTGCTGCATGCGCAGATATTCTGACGTGTTGCAGACGCAGCTGCACCTCAAAAGGTCCCCGGCCTGTCTTCTGCACTGCTTGCACAGCTTTCGCCCGCTCACGCTTGCAGAAATCCGGACCGCTGAAGCTCGCGCCCGAGAGGCGGTCAAAGCCATCAAAAAGGGTAGCAGGCATACCAGGCCAAGGGGCCCCCGCGCCGTGTTCCCATTGCTTTCGGACCTCGCAGCCCCACTGGACAGGAGAGGGCAGCAGGTTTGCAGGAGCCAGTACGCTGCCACGAAGATATTCCTCTTTCGGAGCTCCGCCAGCCATTCCAACCAACGGCTGCACATGACATACTGTGTGGGTGCAGGATTTCATTGATGGGCGAAGCAAGAAGGGCGCACGTGCTTCCAAGCTTTCCAGACCGTTTCACCGCGAAGTTTGCACGAATTTTGGGACGCGCCTCCCCGTGCCTCAACACGAGGCCTGAGACTTGACTGTCCGCTCAGAATCAGAATCAGAGTCCCATGTACGTTTCGCATGGACTTCTCGCATAGTTTCCTTGGTGGAGCCAGTACGCAGAGTGGTCAGTGAGCCAGATGATTGACGAGAGGGACCAGCGAGGCTGACATGGCTGAGCGCGAATGCACGTCTGTTTCCTTCAATGTATACTAGAACTCTTGTCAGACTGTGCTTCACAAGATCGGGGTGCCCCCGCCAAGAGACGCGACCACACCTGCCGTGATGTAAATAAGAGGCCTACTGGCCTCTTCAATGATAGTTGTAGCTTCATCTCAAGAAACACTTCTTCGAAGGTGGACCGAAGCCGAAAACCACCTGTGCACTTTGTGGAGTTTGTGGACTTTGTTGAGCCGCGTGCGTGCAGTGACAGAGCGCCGCGGGCTAGACGTGGGCTAAAGCTCAGGGTCGTCGCGCAACGCGACAAGCAACCTCTCTAGGTTGCCGCCCCCCTCTCTACAACCAGCTACGAGTAGGGAGGATGGCGCTTAAGGTATTAGGGTTCGGCTGACGTCGGACATACACAACAGGAGGGAAGGCAGGAAGGAATAGAGAGAAGGACAGAGAGACTTTCAGCCATCCCAGCTACACAAAGTAACAACCAGCCGGGACAACCCGAAGGAGCAATTACAGACAACACCGACGCAGTTGAAGACACCCCCAAGACCAAGAGCCTCGTTCCGCAATGTAAGGCCGGTCATCGGGGAAAGGCAGATCGGGAGAGCGAGTGGAGCGATACACTCCAGGCTGAATGTACGAGGAGGCTGCGCCAATTTCCAGAGGAATGGCGCCTCATCTCCAAATGGCGGCTCTCCGGCCACCTGGGTAGGCACCCTGCGCCCCTTCAATGCTTTTCCCTGCTGAGCAGCACCTTGTGTGCACAGACGATATTCTACGATATGCTGCGTAATGGTGTCTCGTACTCGTCTGTGCGTGTGTGTGGAAAACCTGTAGCTGAGGAAGCGATAATCATGTTCCAACCTACCAAGATGAAATTATTCACAGGGGACTGGCGATCCATGCAAGTGCCAGTCCAACGAAGAGGCTTACGTTGGATACTGATATCCGGCCTGATCAACCGGACGTACCTGCGAAGTTTCACTACTTGCTGTGCAAGTACGATGAGCCTCATGCGCCCATTAAAGTGAGAAGTTGTACCGAATCTACTTGATCTTGGCACAGTTCAATTTGATTGAAAGGGTTTCCACAGATTCTATCTTCAATAGTGTTATCAGTAGCATCGGGACGACAACACAACGACAAAGTGATCAACGTGATCAAAGGAGATCAGACGAGATGAACAGGCGAGCTGAGACCGGCAACTGCATGTGTGTTACCGGCTGGCAACTCTGACAAAGGGCCAGTCTTGATGGGCGGAAAGCCCCGAAAAGCATACCCAACAAATCCTTGTGAGGATCCACTTTGGTTCAGCTCGAACTTCAGCGCTGGGCGGGGGACACCATCCGGCTAAAGTTCGCGACTTGGACAGGGGGAGCGACATAGTGAAGGCCAAACTACGTGGGGGGAGGATGGACAAACAGTGCAAGTTGCGCAGGTACGGGGGAGGAGTTTGTGCCACGGGGTACAGAAAGGCACATCAACGCTCAGACCCAGAGTGCCGTTTACATGGCTCAACAAAGAAGGGGAGTGGGCCAGCACGCAGCCGCTCTCCCAAGATGAACCCGCAAAGTGAGGAACCATCTCCCGTAGGGGGGGGACAACTACTACACGAGCGCCTTCCTCGACGTGCCCCTTTTCGGAGATGACACAGTTTGCGACAAGACGGGGGAGGATCTTACTTTACGAACCTGAAAGCCTCGACAAGTGGATAGGCCGGAAGATTGAAAAAGACGAAGCCACCACCCGCTACCTCGACGCTTCCACGGTGGGGTTCTTGAACCACAAGCAAGCCAAGTCCTACGAGGCCTACCATGCTCGACGCCAGCAGTGGAGCCGAACGCGGGACAAACTCGACAGATATATACGCATAGTGGACAAGTACTTGCCGAGAGTCGCGGAGGAAGCCTGCATATATATATATAGGTCGATTTCCCGACCACGTGGGGAAACTGCTGAAACAGGTTCGGAAAAGTCGGAGAAGGATCCGAAAGACGCGGGGGAGCAAGCAGCGAAACAAGGAGGCACGCTCGGCCAGTTCGTCGATGGCGACCACAGCTCCAAAGCAAGCTCGTCACCAACCACTACCTGGCGGAGCCGTCGTACAGGCTAAGCCGGGGGGCAGATGAGCCAGAGGACTTGCCAAGGGAGAGTATGTGACAAAGGCACGCACTGACGATAGCAGCTGTGGAGGAAGAGAGCAACTTGATGAGAATACCCCACCCGATTGGGGGGGAGTATAGACAAGGAACATGGGCCACGACCCGAAGACCCTCATCATTGGCAAGGGGGTTGACGGGCCGCCCATCAGACCGAGGTGAAAGTACTGGAGTCCTGGCACAGAGACCTCGTGAGCCGGCGGGGGAGCCACCACCGAGACGCCAAGACCGACCCGGAGACCATGACTCGCAGGGGGGACGGGCCCGCTTGGTCCCGAACCCCACATGGAGAAGCGTGCAAATAGTCCAAGCACATATGGCCGTTTCCGTGGGAAAAGGGAGACCTCGTAAAGCTACGCAAGGGGGAGCAGCAGCAAGGAGGGGGACGACGTTCTCTCGATGCAGTTTTGTCCTGTCATGTTCTTCGCTGACCGCTATGCAAAAAGTCCGAGATCGTCTTCTGAAAGGGGGCATTAGGTGTAAAGGTGTGAACTTTTTACGGGCTTAACAGCCTTCTCCGATCAACCCCATGCAAACGGGCTAAACCGCCCATAATCCTCGCTTCTTTTTGGCTCACCTCGAAGCCTTTTCAATCCATACTTCGTTGACTCGAATTAGGGGGAATTTCTCAAGGCCCAATTAACTCATTCCAACCTGTGATGCTTTCAACAACCTGCTCATACATAGCGGGGGGAAACTTGCACGTTTTTGCCTTGGAACCCCGAACACGTGGAGTCCCCCCG